TATCTACTCTGAAATAAACACTTCTCACTCAAGGGAAGACTTTCTTTTACATTATGATGCGCATTTCAGACTTATTTTTAAACAGAATGAAAGACAATTAAATTGAATGAGGTTATTCCACCTCTTAGAAAAGAGCAATGACAGTACAATCCTCAGGCCAAAACAATGATGTTTAAAACAACTGCATACATTTTTTCAAAGTCAAGGGGAAAAAAAAAAGCTAACACAGGGCCCTTCAAAGACATTTTTCCTCCAACCCTTTCAACTATCAAGTTTGTACAACATAAAAAATCAAGGCCTGAAAATAGGAAACCATCAAAGGGAGGAAATTCTGATCGTAAAACGTGGACATCCTAACTCAGTCATTTCTTCTCTAGCACACCAAAAACATATCCTCCCCAAGATTACGGCCTGAAGCAAGTACTGTTTATACAAGATGAACAGAATCTAAAACATGAATGTCATTAGCCACACTTAAGTATTTGAGTTATGAATGTTTATCTTTGGAAAAAGCTTCCTTTTCTGATATCTTTCTGTCATGATTCCTTTTTTTTTGTTTATCTCTGTTTTCCAATGAGTGATGTGTGTTCTTTCTAGCTTATAGCAAAAGGACTAATTAGAAACAGGAATTTTGGTAGCAGCAAACATTGCCAAGCATAGTTACGTCCCTGTGTATATACTGTACTAGAACACTTCACTTAGCAGTATTCCACAGTTTGTATATGGTACTACAAGTTTAACTGAATTAAGACATAGTGTGCTCTTTAGCATTTACTCAAGCCTCTTTGTATATTTGACCAGGATCTGGCCACTACAGTCTATAGCCTGCACAAATGTAGATTTTGTATTCATGTTCTCCATTAATAAGACTGTACAGAGGGATCATTGATAAACAGATACAGAATTCGAGCCAACACACTTAGTTCAGCATTTTGTTCCTGACAATAGCCAGAGGAAGAAGCAAGGAACACTATAGTGGCGGGAGACACAATAATTCATCTCGGTGTCTCATCCTAATCCTTAAAAGCTGTAAACTGGCCTCAAAACTGAAATGAGTTGAATCTCTGTTTCTAAAAAAATATTATTAGAATTAGTATTCAGTTTCTTTCTGCATCTTGCTGAATTCTTGGCCTGGAGTAATATCCTGTGGCAATGTGTTCCACAGTCTAATTGTAAGCTGCATGAAAATGTACTCTCTTTAATCAGGAAAGGAGCACTTGTCTGGCTTGATGGACAAATACTGCTTGTTTTGCCATTCCACTGATGTGCTGTCATACTACACTGAGAAACCAACAAATATGCAGAGATGTGGCACAGTTTGTACTGGGAGGACATGGACACTGAAGAGCAATACTCCACCCTTGCTTTGCATGCATACAAGCATATGCTTCAGTAAACTTTGCACATCAAGTCTGCAAGGTCAATATAAGAGAGCAAAAGCACTTCCAAATGCTTTTCTCTGCTTCATTTATCATCTGCAATAGACAAAATATTCATTAGCACCACATCCTCCATCTTAACCAACTAGGACTCTAACTCAGTATGTGTTGAAATGATATTTTTTTCTTAACACATCAAGTCTTCTCAGAGCTACTACATTAAAAAAAAAACAAAAACAAAAAAACCCAAAAAACCTTAAAAAGGTATTTTAGAGATGAGAACATTCATACTGTCTTCACTTGCTGTTGATGGGTTTTGCTGTCTAATAAAGCAAACAGATTGCTACCAACCACAACCAGGGCTAGAATCAACCAGTCTCAGTAGTCTGTTTGCACTGCAAAGTAATATAGCCAGAGCTAACTCGGTCAGGTTCAGGTTCTGGTAGCTCTTCAGAGGAAAGGCATGGGGCTGCACGTTACAGTAACTACTCCAAATATTTACTCAACTTCCTAAAGGGGTTTTACTGCCACTACTTAGCTGCTGTGGTTCAAATGCTACCAGTACCCAAATGAAGTAATTTACAGTTGGCTTGAACTAGTTTATGCTACACTGTAATCCCAGCACTGGCTGAAGCATGGACACCCACTTAATTAGCTATCTGAGACCATGAAAGATGCAGCAAATCCAGAGAATCTCTTTCTATAAGCCTCTGTATTTTTACCAGAATGATGACAGATTTGCCCCTCTGTAGTGATTAATGTTAATTTCACCTTGAAAATTCTGAGCTTCTTTTTTATTTTGCTAACTGATTCGCCAATAAAATTATAAAAGCATAACATGCTGAAAGCTGGAATTTTCTTCCTGAGCTGAAATCAAATATTTTGACATTTATTAGTTCCATAAAACTTTGCTAAAAAAATAAACATTTTTCAGTTCATAAGAACCATATGCTCTTCTGTTTATAAAAAAGAGCTGTGCTGGGACACTGAAAAAACATTCCCCAAGAACTGCATTCTTTGGGGGATTTACATTTTTTTAACCCTTTTCCTGATTATCAGGATCTACACCACATGTCCAGAGTCACAGCACCTCTGGAGTCCTGTGTCAATACCAGTAACGTGTGTTGCTCTACAGAGCTGAATTCATTTAAATGCATAAATGCATTTACTTCAACTGGTACGGCTGTGTCAGGTATAGCTGGAGGGTGAGAGGAATTACTTTGAGTAGCTTAGCAGACATGCAAGGGGCCCATGTACCTTGAGAGATCGCATATGCCTTGTATCAAGGGAGTCCTATAACCTATGGGGTGAGTAAAGCTTCCCCAAGATTTGCATCATCTCAGGAATTTTCAGTTGTTTGGTGGCCTACACAACAGCAGTGCCCAGTCTCCATGAGTAGAAAGAGGCAGCATCTGAGCAGGATGCCTCAAGGAAAGGGTGAATGACTGGCAATGTGCAGCAAACCTACAGCAGCTCGGGCTGAACAGGCTCAGACCTTAAGTTTAAACCAGGGCAGATAATTCACGTTGGATACATTTGACTTTAAATCAAGTTTTGCCTTCAAGCAAGGAAGCATGAAATTGTCCTCGTGTTCTGTTTCCAGAGGGTTTTGAAGCATGGTTCAGGGTAAAGAGCCTACTGTATGAGTCTTTGCAATGCAAAGTTTGCATTAGAAAAAAAGGCATGGGGCAAAATTTTGTATTCCTTCATTTACAGAGATCTCATTTGTATTAATTTAACTCTTCGTTCCTGTTTTCAGAGGTTCAGGTCAGCTCCATTCTGAAAGAACATAAGGTACCTTTCAGCCTGACTCTCTGCAGTTTTCTGTCTTGCAGACTGACTCGCTGGTGTCTCATAAGGCACAGACACCAATTAAAACCCTTATCACAGCTGGTGCATTCAAAATCTCTCTCATCTATGTGGATTCTTGAGCATCTAATAAGAAAAGTGGTCACACTACAGCCTTTCCCTCGGGGAGCGCTGATTTACACACCACTACTCTACCCTGCTGTCTATGTTCAGGCCATTTTAATTCTTAAGTTAGAAGTAGGATGGCAGAACATCGAGTCTTACAAGTCCTCAGTCCAGTTTCTGGCTCAGTCATGCTGTATGTCTAATGCTGAAGTCACGCAATCCACCTCAAGTCCCGTCCTTACCTTTAAAATGTGGATAACACTTTGCTATCTCGCAACATGTTGCAAGGATCATGAGAGCTACTCAGACTGTGAAGAGGGTGAAAAAAGTCTCTACACAGGTTTCGAACTGAGGCATATCAGTAGTGTTCACTGAGAGGGAAGACTAAGTGTGTCATCTATATCCTGAAGTGCATTATTCTGTCCTGGGAAGAACGCGAATATGACATAAATAAAAAAAAACCATGAACATTACCTTCTAACCAATGTCTACTACAAAATTAGCGATCACTATACAAATCTTCCAGCAATGCAGATTGCTACACAGGACTACCCACCTCTCAAACTGAAAAGTCTTGTTTACTGATGCATGACCAGGACGGCTACATTTTACAAGGACAGTTTCCTAAGAGAAAAACAAAATACTTACAATTAATATCATAGGCACACACAGATAAAAAAAGAAATATTTATCATTTCTAACATTCCAGGTGACAGCGGTAGTTAAGGATCATGAAGTCCAAGGCCCTTCTACAGCAGTCACCAGCACATGAGGCTTTAGAGCCTGTATACTGCAGTGAACTAGCAAGACCACAAAAAAGGATCTCAAAACACATTCAGATTATTAAAGAACAACCAACACAAAATATGTGCACTTAAGTTCACAAGAAAGATCCAAACCCTCACCTGAACTTCTTATGTGCCTAGAAAGCCACAGGCAAGTAAATCCAACCTCCCTAACTGCCACCACAGGTAGAAAAAATGGCAGAAAGAGGCATTTTTTATTAAAGGGCCAGTTTTCACAGTGCCTTTTCAGATTGATTTCATATATATTTGTGCCTAGAACTGAGCAGAAGATGCACATTTCATAGAATAACATGCTAGTCTACAACTGTGAGAAAGAACTGCACTAGCACAATTGGTAGAATTACACAAGTTTTTAGTGGAATCCACTTTGCAGATGGATTATATAGTAGTTTTGTAAGCCTGACAGATATGTAAGCAGCTCTTTAAACTATTACCACTGTAATCACAGCAGTCTGGTGTGCCTTACATAGCAACTTCTGTGTCCTTCTGCTCCTCATGGTATATGTTGCTTAATTGCAGAGAAAAGTAAAGAAAAAAAAAGTGGGGGTTTACAACAATTCAGATGGAAGCTCACTAGCACACAAAATACTTCATCTAATTCAAGGAGGTCTTCTAGCTTACTAACCTGCCGTTACATTACTACATTTGATGGGAGTGCTGAAATTCCTATTGTGCTTCAGACAAGTAGCTTGGAGTGCTGAACTAATGGCCTTCAAATGAGTATTGCCACAGAATGAAGTCGTAAAGAGCTGAGCAAAAACGATTGCATAACCGTATATCCAGCATGCAAATGGCTAATAAAAATCACATTTTTTTGTTTTGAGTTTACAAGTATTTCTTCCTTGTTGGAGAAGGCCAATGTATCGTTATCAACCTAATGATGACAACACTCGCTCTGCAGAATGAGCTATGTTACCTATCCCAGTAGTGGCAAATCTAGCAGCAGTACAGATGTGAGTACAACACTGTGCTACAAAATGGCCTGACAAAGAAAATCTAATAGGATCAGTACCCAAAAGGCTCTGGAGGAAGGGAAAAGAAAAAAGAAAAAGAAAAGAAAAAAAAAAAAAGGAAAAGGATACAGAGTTATGGAACAAATTTCTGATTAAGATATCAAATTTACTTCCAGACCGGCTTTCCCTAAGGTAAGAAATGGGACAGAAAAGATTCTATTTGCATAACATAGAAACAGAAGAATTGTTAACAGGCAGAAGTTTCATATGAGCATTGGTAATGACCTTCCTTTCTCAGGAGATCAGTATGGCCTAACATATCTACCACAGCTGCTGGCCTACAGAATTTCACCAGGTTTCCCTGTCAATAGTGCTTGTGAAATCCATACAGCTGTCTCACATGAGCACTGAAGAACCCTTTTTTCACCCCAGAGTCACAAAATATTCCCAGTCTGAGTTCTTTCAGGGCAATATGAATCATGGAAACGACAAAAGGATACTTCATAAATATTCACAATCTGTCCTGGCACCCAAGCCTGACTCCCCAAGCCTGGGGAGCGGTTCAGTAAGTGAAATTCAGTAAGGCAGAGAAATAATTTTAAATGAGTTATACGGAATCGTGGATATAGACATGATCACAGAATCCAGCTGTGATAATTATCATTTCTTATCACTTGTTACTGCATATCTCCTGAAGGCTATGCCCCCTTTCCCAAGACTACTGCTCCATAGCAGAGCCAATGTAAAGGAGGCTGCAACTGCTCCTCATGTTTCACTCTCAACTGCAGTGCAACCAGCTGATATAGCACTGAGGCCAACACAGACAGCTTAAAGAATTCCCCGCACTGGGCAAGCAACAGGGGAAGAAACCTCTAGCTGGGGATGGTGATAAGCAACTGGGGAGCAATAATGTCTCTAACTGCTATAGCTACATCCATCTGATCTATTACAAAATTATTTCCCAAGAAAAGGAGGGTCTTGGCTCTGTTAGTTCATGTTTTCCCAGTCCTATCTTGAAGAAAGAGCAGAATCTTGCACCTTCCCTGATATTGAGAGCAGCCTCTTTGCTATTCCCTTTTTCTCAACTACTCACAAGTGAAAACCTTCTCAAAATGATTTGAAAGGAATTAACCACATAGAGGCAGCAAGTCTCTTTTCTCTGTGACAAAGGAAGTTGGATTCAAACATCACTTCAGGTATTAGGCTAGGACAGGTGCCTCAGGTGCCTATGTAGTCATGGAGAGAGACAAATATTTAAAGTTTAATTCAGATCTTAGGTGAACGACTTTCCTTCTGGAGGTGGCTACTTCAGCACCCACAAGGGAGTCTGGAGTGATTAGGCACCTCATTTAAGCATCTACATTTGCTGTTGCGATTCCAGAGGAAAACATAGCTACTCATTCTAACATGACTCCTATATTCACTAGCACACACAGCACACTGCCAGAGATGGATGAAATTACAGAAAAGCAGCAAGTGGGATCCTAGACCAGAATCACAGAATGGTTGAGGCGGGAAGGGACTTACAAAGATTGTCGAGGCCACCCCCTGCTCAGAGGAGGGTCAGCTACAGCAGGTTGCCTAGGACCGTGTTCAGTCAGGTTTTGAGTATCTCCAAAGATGGAGACTCCACACCCTCTCTGGGCAATCTGTTCCCATGTTTGGCTACCCTCACAGCTTCTCATGTTTAAGCTGAATTTCCTGTATTTCAGTTTGCACCCATTCCTTCTTGTCCTGTCACCACCGAGAAGATTCTGAGCATTCAGTACCTCATCTACTTGTTTTCCCAGGTAGTGACAATACCAGCATGGCTCAATGTCCTAATCCATGTGGAGTAGTTCAGCTTGATGTGTAGTGTGTAATCACTGTCCACCATTATTGCACAACCAGCTTCAGGAGAAAGGCTCAGACAGTTGTTACTATTATGCTGAGGAGCTGAACATACACGGGAAAGCAAAAAGAAAACTTCAAAAATCTTAAAGTACCTCAAAAACTGAAATGAAATACTCTTCTGTACATCCAGTAAAATCTTAAGCCTTTTTTAGACTTAGAAGAAGAATAATGATTGTCTAGACAAGATGAGCAAGATTATAGAAAAGATGACATGTGTCTTTTGAAGAATGATATGAATCTCTAAATAAACAAAAACACTCAAAAGACTAAATGGAATTCATGCAGTCTCAGTCTCACAAAAAGATACACAACCATTCTGTCCAAGTGTCAGTTCTGCCTCTCTACAGACAAGTTTGAAGAAAGTCTTAACACAGCTCCTGGCAGAAGAGAAGCGAAGTTTCTATAAATACTGCAATTTCTGTTGTGGTCTTTCACTACAAGGCAGATGTTTTCCCTATTCTAGTGATAACAGGACAAAGTTGTAGCATAGATGAGACAGATCAGCATATTACTAGAGCCCCAGTCCAATTCAGGGAAAAAGTCAAGCTGAAGCTTGTCCAGAAGATCCAACCGTAGTTTCCAACGTGTATGCTGGATTGTGTTGTGACTGTGGTTCTCAAACACAGCTCTGCTTTCTAACGCACATTAGCTCTAAAATGATCATGGCAGAAAACTGCCTGGTTATGTTACACACACAAAGTATTTTCAGAGAAAAATCTGGAAAGACAGCCATGATCTAAAAAGCAAAACTAATAAACTCAGCACCTCTATCACAGACAGTCTTCCTTCACCTTGAACTAAAATTTCCTTTACGTCATAAATACTTGTCTGGAAAATGGTTAACTTGGTTCCAGAAATAGGAGCTTTGACTGTGTTGCAACTAAAATCTCAATAACAAATCAAGCCTCATAATTTTATCTGAAAATTGCACATTTACCCTAGCCACAGCATAACACCTTCAAGTGTTAAAAGCAAAATAAGCAGGCAATAAACATTGTTTTCCTTTACTTTTTTTAGATTAGTCTAAATTGACTGCTTTTTGCAAAAAGTCAGTTGTACTTTTATCCTCCCTCATGAACTTGGATACTTCAAACAATTTTTTTTTTCTTAAAAAAAATCATATTAAGAAACTAACACAAAGACTTGGGGTGTTTGATCAAAGCTAGAAAGCATTTTAACCAAATAAATGTCAAGGCAAACCAATAAAACATTTGAAGTCAATGTTGTGTTTTCCAAAAACAGGAAGTTAGTATCCTGCAAATTTCATGTTACAATCAAGTCCATGCATACATTTATTTTCCTGGAATATTTCATAAGGACTTTTAAACATGAGAACAGGTTAGCATATTGAAGCTTGCCAGGTCACTGTTTCATACAAAATAAAACTCATAAATTGGCATAAGCAAGCAGACACTGCTTTGCCTCTAAACATACAGATACTGTACTATATCAGATATCTCTATGAAATAATCCAAACCATAAATATTACCTAATTTCACATTCATGCAATAAAATTTAACAGGTCAGAAATGGTCGTGACATTTTATAGTACAATAAATGGGTCATGGCATCCAGAACACTACGCCTACCATTACAGATCCCTGGTTTTTATCTCCTGACATATTTATTCTTTCTTAGCTGACTCTTTATAAGCTCCATTAGTTTCCTAATTGCATAAATATATATCTCTCTATCTAAGTATCCACTTTATGCAACTGAGATCTGCCTAATGAAGCTATAATTTGGGAGATTTAAATGCATAACATACTGTAGGTCACTTCAGCAATATTTTAAGCACTGTACTACAGAAGAGAATTTGGCTAATCACCATGTAAGTAACCGTGAGCAGCCAACTAAGAACTATGGTGGCTAAGAAAATTAAAACCCAATTTAATACTTTGACCTTAGCTCACACTGCTGTGCCTTTTTAAATTTTATATCTTGGTAATGGCCTCAATTAATGCTGGAATGTCATCTGGATTTGCAACCTCAATGCTCATTCTCCTTCCTCTGATGGATCTAAGCCAGGACACTTTAACATGCTTGACTGCAGTACCACGTAGGCTGTTGTGGTTCATGAGATATCATATTTCTCTCCTAATGCATTAGTTGTGTTGCAATAATAAAATGAAAAAAGCCTGACATAATTTTGGAAATAGTTACAGTAAATACAAGTGGCTCAAAGGGACTGACTGCAGGAAGTCTGCAGCGGTTTGACTACTGCAAACACACAACCTCCGGTGCACGGATGACTGCACCAGCAGAAGCTCCGAGCTATTACTACTACAAAGAGTCAGGATGAAAACAGCACAAATCACCTGCTATTGCACCCATGGGTGATCAAAGCTGGGCACTGATTGACAAGAAAGTACCTCATTTTTTTTTTAAAATCCATGGTTCACATGTCCCTCTTGTTTCTCCTTCCTACTATCTGTGAAGGTGCTTTTGAATTTCACCATCAAATACTCACCTCATCAGCTGCGTATGCCACTTTTTCTGAAAAGTTTCTTTGCCTGTAAGAAAAAACAAAGCCAACAGAGAAAAAAAGGTATCTTTCAAACTATAAATGTTCCATTTAGCTCAGGAAAGTCAACGCTCAAAACGTCTGTGAACTACACATTATCTGAAGAGTACCTTTCAGAATTGCCGTTATTATTGTACCCCATGTACATACTAACACCACAGTTAATTGTGAATAAAAAACAAATTAAAGTGCAATCAAGCAAAATAATCTGCTTAAAAGAAGAAATTTACAACAAACCCAATTAAGACTAATTCACATGCAAACCATTCTATTATTTTGAGATTGTAACGTGAGCTCATAACAAGAGGCTTTCACTTCAGAACATTAATGTGAAAAACACCCTCTTTTTAGGTATTTTTCCCTGATCTTGCATCCATTACTAATCCAAAAATTGACTAGGATTGCTGAGGTGTATAAATTCATTCATGTGTGTAAGTGTTTTGAGAATTAGTTTTACAACTAAGTGTTATTTAAATTACTTTTTGATATATTAAGAAAAGATAGTCTTAATGATTGTTTGTTTGGCCCAGTCCATCCTGTTTTACACTGAAATTCAGCACCTGACTGCACTATTCCATACAGCAACAAAAACAGTGAGTGGGTTCCTTCCCAGGTATATCAAGCACAAGTTAATGCAAGTTTCCCCATCAGGCTCCTTGAAAGTTTTTGTCTGCTATTTTTGATGTTGTTTTAATTAAAACAATTCTATATTTTTTTAAAGATTTGCCAAAAGTTAATAAACTTCAAAACACTGAAAGTAGTCTTTTAGAATTACCAACCAGCAAAAGTAAAATAAAGCCCCAAATCAGTTATTTACTGATAGGGCAAATGATAATGTTACTGGTTTCTAGCCACCCACCTAGTTTTCCCCTTTCTTCTTTGTTTGTGTATGTTTCAATCCCTACCTTCTTTCATCTTAGTCATCTATGGAGAATTCAGCTTGTTATAGCACATACTTGCATCTAATCCCTCTTTTCCTTTTGGATCTTGGAATGTTTTGACACTTCAGTTACAGTAAGTGTATTCTAAATTAGAGATGCAGAGCCAAATTATACTGAAATAGAATTACCAGTGTTTGTGCTGACAGCAAATCTGTTCTATAGCATTACAGAACAACTGTAATGCTGAGTGTGTTTCTCTACCCACGACTTCCAACGGTTATTATATTACTGTATCCCAAAATTTGTGTAGGATAGCAAATATACTCTTCACTGATTGCAGCTGTGTTACTTCTGCCAAGCCAGGGATAATCCTGGCTTGGCAGAACACCTATGGCTTTCTATTCAGGTGGACATACTTTTAGACAAGGGGATGAGATTGGCTAAGGCCAGTTTAGCAGGAGCAGCAATTAGTTTTGATGATACCATCATCGTCTCCCCACACACATAAAAACAGAAAAATCAAGAACACAGTTGTTCTCACATGCATATAACTTGTTTTCTCTGCATATTAATTATGAGTCAGCTAAGATCTAACACAGCCAAAATAAATTACCTATCTTGTGATAACGAATGTCGAGCAGCAGTATCAAAAGGTAGTAATGGTCGGATCCTGCAGTGGACTCTGATATTTCCTCTCAGTTCCTAGGGTTAGAATATTAAGATGTATTTAACACAAACTACTGGAGAGAACAAATACACTGGAATTTGTGAAGCAGACATGAACGTTTAAGAAAGCAGGCGTTTACAACGTCACAGCCTTAGACTCTGGGGAGGGAAAAATAGTATCAATATGAGTTGCCTTGAGAAGTTAGGAGAAAGTACTTGAGGAAGTATGAGCTCCAGTCTATATGGGAAAAAAAAAGGCTTTCAAGCCGAACCATTTTCCCCTCTTCAGTCTCCTTCCTCTTTACTTGAGCTTCTTCAGACACCTGTATTAACTCAACAGACAAGGTTACACACTCCATTTCTTTTCCACCAGCCTTGAGGAAGATGTGTAATCTAAAACATTTTGTACCTTTTCCTCTCCACCATGTGTTCATACATGACTAAAAAGCCAGTAAGTGATTTTCCTCTGTGGGCTGTTTCAGACTTCAGTTTATCTAACCTGGTGTTTTTCCTTCCTTTTTATTGGTGATCAGTTCTTCTCATTTTGTATTAGTGAAAACAGCTTGCCTGTGATGGCTAGTGACCACTGGCATTAACTCCCCGCTGCCTTGGGGAGTATCTTTTCGGTAAACTATAACATGAAGCAGAGTTTGGAAGGTAAGTACTTTTTAACAAAGAGCTTTACTTTCCTGGGTAGAAAAACTTGAAACAATTTTGTTTGAAGGTGGCTTGTGTTTCTAAAAATCAAGTCCTGAATCAGGCAACCCAAAACTAGTCAACTGGGGGGAGTGGGCAGGAAGAGTAAAGTTAAAGTACAAAACCGAAAAAATTAATCCTGAACCATGACTAATGGATGAGCAGGATACAGCTAGATATATTTGGAAAAATAAAAGAAGACCACTTTGCAATTTCAAGTTAATCATTTGAAGAATTCTAAAACAATTTCAGAAGCTGCAAATTTAGAGAAGAGGATGAAGAAACTCAAGTTTTGTTCACCATTCAAAACGGACGATACTCCTTAGTGCAATATGCTCCAGGAGTGCATTTGAAAGATGCTTGTTTAAAAAGAATGGGCTGGGGTTTACTGTAAGACAAATCCGCCTCAGCAAAGAAACGCATCGTATATAGACAGCTGGGGGAAGTGACATATCCATGAAAAGTACATTCATTAGTTTTATTGGTGAGGAACTTATGGGCATAAGTACAACAAAATAAGAAAATGTTCTGTCATTAAAGATACTTACTACTAAGCTGTTATGTAGAGCTCTCCTCTTTTGCTTTTCTTTCTCATATCTCTCTGTCACCTCTTGTAGAGACTGTTCAAGATCAAAAGCTTTTATCTGAAACACTGGAAGAAGAAAGCTGTTTCAAAGAACTAAATTCTGTGACTTTACAAAATGAATTTTCTAGTAGCACCTCATGAAATATAAGCATAAACCTTTTTAACTTCTACCAACCTTAAATTAGGAGGGTTAGCTCCTGATCTACTAGACACCTCTGAAAAATCTCATCATACTTCTTGCTATGAAATGACTAGGCAAAGTTACAGATAATTACCACAGGTATACATGTGAAATCTGGAAAAACAATCAAAAAGGCAAGATATTTAAAGGCAGTTCAAACGTGTCAGTTTAGTTAGTGTTATCTGTCAGTGAAGCCTGAAACCTAAACTTGAACCAACCTCCTTCTGGATGGGGCTGTCACTTGCAAGGCTCATGCCAGATTTGCAGATTATTAGATTAATGCCAGCTAACTTTACAAGAAGTTAAACTATCGTTTATCCTCAGCCTCATTTACAGTGCTCCTAATCCTGTAAAACAGCTATAAGGTTCCCCTTTAAGATAAGTGCACTGGCTTCATGGGCAGGATTTCATAAAAAAGATTGATCTTTTGAACCCCAGGGAGTCTTTCACAAAACTGAGGAGAGCAATATGGGTCATTATAAAAGCCTTTTAACTTCACAACGCCTTCTAACTTCACAAATGGTTTCATTTCCACCCAATTACATTAACACTGAGCAGGCCTAAAACAAACATACAGCCCAGAGGGCACATAACGTGACTGTAAACTTGTGTACAAAGCAACCTTTCAGGAACCCCAGTGGGATATCAATCTCCCCAGAAATTAGTGAGCGGTCTGAAGATGTAGAGTAGCAAGCAGTCAAAGCCATGGTCTGAGAGCTGAGTAGCAGGATGGCCACCAGCCTCAGTATGAGCTACCTTACAAAGAAAGGAACAGACTTAAAATCTCAGCATGTCACACACATGATTTGTGCTCACTGGTATAGACTAAAAATCAGATGACTTCAAGGGACATTAGTCTACACTAGAGATTCCTCAGATCTTATTTTTGTAATATCCACACTGTTCACCTCCAGCTCATAATGTTCCTCCACAAGTGCATGCATGCATGGAAAACATGACATTAACAGTTGGGGAATCAAAGTCTAGGAGTTTCACTAAGGAAAATCCTTTTCTTGCATCCTATATGTGGAGTAACACGAGTATGTCTTGGTTTGGAGAATCATGTGCAAATATGTTACAATAAATTGTCAAAAGTGACATTCATTGACTGCTAATCATACAGTATTTTTCAAAATACGAGGCTGGAATCCATTGATTGTTTAAGTAATCTCCATAATAAGTATCTTAATTTATAAATTTGTATACACACAAACTTGAATTCTCTTGAATAAGCAGTAAAGTTAAGCAATAGGTGCTAAGCGTACTCTTCCATTCTTCCAGTCTTGAAAGAAAAAAAAAAAAATCACTACTTTGTTTCAATATTTAAGTGGTCTCTTCATGAGGACTTTGAGAAGCCTACTGGACAGTTTAAGTTAACTTAGACCCTAATTACTCAATTTTTTTTTTCTAACTAGACTAGAAGCTGACTGTGAAAACAGAAATCAGCCTTGGGGCTTCCTAATTTGACACCAGGGCTTTTGAGCAGACGGGCGAAGGACCGCGATCTGTAGAAAATGAGTCAAGTTGTTGCATTTAGCAGAAGATATTTTGATATTTGTAAAAGTGAACCATCAGTTTTAATGTCCATCTTCTGTAAAGCTTTATGTGCAGCACAGAAAAACTTCTTGAATAGAAGCTCCACAAAGCAAGTTTCCTAAGGCATAAATTATTTCTGAACTTTTAATTTTTCTGAAAGTGGAGCTGTATAGTTATACACACTTATTGATCATTTTACTAGTTTTCTGCTTGGCATCAGCTGCAAGCTATTCAGAAGTTACATTTTCATCCATAACCCAGGGGCAGCCACTGGGCGCATCTGTTTTAAAATACTAATAAGCCACTCTTCATTATTCAAGAGAAATAGTCACCACATGCCCGCAGCCCTTACAGACATCCCTTTCCCTCATGCTTTGCCCATCTCATTGACCTATACAGAAACTTTCTGGGAGCTGGGAATGCTGGTTATTCTGTTTAAACATCACCAAGCACATTTAGGATCTTCATCGATAATCAGACTAACAGTCGTAGAAGAGTGATGGCTTGTGAACATGTTCAGGATTGTAACGTTTCTTTAATTGACAGTCCTGGTTAAGGAGCTTTTCATTCCCTCCCATTCAGTGCTGCACCAGACCTTCTGCTGTGCTCACACAACTGCTTCCACGGTCACGTGGAGGCCTAAAAGCAATCCTTCTTGCTGAGTAATTTCTGTCCTGGATCAGCTCCTTGATCTGTTTTTTGCGTGTGGTCACACAAACAGCATAACGGAAAGGTCCATGACGGTGACATGAACAACAGGAGCAGCACAACATAGCACAGCCACAGCCTAGCACGGATATGGATGTGTAGCTGTCCCCATAGTTCCCTGAGGTTTTTAATGCTTCTTTCCATACCAGATTCCAGTTTAAAAACAAGGTCAATCTTAGATTCCAGTTTAAAAACGAGGTCAATCTGACCATGCCTTCTAGGATAAGCAGCTATGATGTAACAGACTTAATTCCAAAACTTTTTAAATTCAGCTGTGTTTGATATCCTGGGCTATAACATGATTCTTTGGGCTGCCGCAATACTTCTGTTGCTGGATCCAAGGTCCCTTCTCCTCCTCCCGTACTCTACACTCAGAAGGAAAGGCTTTCCAAAGGCAGCTGAGCTGGTGAGACTGCTGTCGAGTTGAGGGTAAAAGATGATGGTAGTTCACATTCCACAGGTACAAGTCATCAGCACAGTGCAGAGCTCAGCTTTCTCCAAGAGAAGCAGAGCAGATAGGTGCCAGCATATGGGCAAAGTGGGAAATAAGCTCCTTACCTAATTTTTCCTCTTCTCCACCCTAGAGAGAAAGCGTCCTGGAACCACAAAGGATACCTAAGTCACTGGGCTGCAGCAGCTTTCACAAAATATGTTAGCAACATGCAGCAACTGCTCTGTCACATATTCACTTGGACAGATTTTGCTCCTTAGTACCTGCCACTTTGCCAAGCAGTGAGAATCTAAAAAGTCATCTTAAATTTTTAGAAATTCCTGCCCTTCCAGAAATCTGCTGAATTACTGCATCTGCCTCAGTAGTATCATTTGCAGTCAGGTGGCCAGTATTTTTTCCTAAATGAGACCAGCTTTGTTTATCAGGGAAGCAGGCCTATAACAAAAGAATAATGATCACTTCTCTCTTTTATGAATTACTGCTATTTAAATTTCAGTGGGAAAGATGGCAATAGCCTGGCTTTCAGACTGTGAATAAATATTTCTAAGCAAGGGACTACTCGGTTTTTACAGGAAAGTTTTATAGTTTGCTGCATGTCAACTACAGCCTTGAAATTAACCTACTTGAACGTTTCTTCTATAGTTCTCTCAGTCATTTTCAATCTCTATTTTAGGATTAAACTGATAACATATATTGTCTCCAGAATACATACTTCGGGCTTTCTGTTTACAAAAGATTATATGTAATTTAAGGATGGCAATTCTGACTGTCATATTTAACCTTAACAATAGAATCTCCATCTAAAACATTTGACAGAGAAATGAAAAATGGCCAAATTAAAGTCATCCACCTAAGTACCAACACACTATTTTGTTATAGGCAAGGAAGCTTCTCCTGGTTATGATTTCATAGAACAATGCACCACAAAGTCCAAATTGAGAACAGTCAACAGGAATTTGCAAGGCCTCATAAGGTGTATTTACTATTTATTTACACCACAACTGCTTAAGTGCCAAATTCAACCTCCTATCTGTTCATTTAGCCCCCTGCTTCAATAACAGAAACATTCACCTTTATCTAGGGTTAATTTTCCACTTTGTTTTTTCTGCTTTAAAAACAAGTTGATTAAGCATTTTCTCTACATGGATAATACAGTAATCAAATCAATTTTAATCATAACTTAGTACATAACATACAGGGACAAGTTCCGCAAACACCCATCACTGAGAATGCTGTTTGTTGCTATTGGCATGAACAGTCCCATCAGAATCAAATCAGTCCCAAAATTAAATATTTCAACCAAAAAATAAAGCAGGAGAAAAAGGTACCTTTTAAATGGCAACATATGGATATCACAGCATCACCCACGGCCTCTGATTAGAAATTTGTGTATTTGTTTTTCATCAGGCTGCTAAGCTTCAAACAATTTAAGCTCCGCATGTGCCATGTGCTTCTCAGGCCTGGTAGAAGCTCCACCAGAATCAAGGATATTGAAAGCACGTGCAGAGACCCATGCCAAGAGCTCCAGGTGTAGGACCAATGCACTTAGTCCTCAGTGATGGGGGCAGAGAGTGCCGCTGCACTGCAGGGTCTGCTTTATATGTACAGGTGAACAAGGAAGGACCTGAATTCTGAAACAGTAGTCCGTATGGTGTTATTATCTACAGTCTAGCGAGTGGAACTTGTTTTGATTTTGAAGTAAAATTTTATCTGTAAATACACAGAAATATTAAAAATCCAGTCTGTCCTAATTTCAGACAGTATTTTCAGAAATCTCTGAAATCATCTGAGTCCTTTTCTGGTACAGTCAAAAGCAGACAGATTTCAGCTAAAGCAACACATTCTTTATTCAGCTATTCTAAAATAGTCAAGATAACAAGCCTGAGAACTTCAGATTAAAAATGTTACAGCTGAGCCAACTCAGCAGCAGTCTAGCAGCAGCCGCAACCAACACAAAAGCTAAATCCAAATTATCAGTCATAACCTCTGCAGAGTTATTTGTACTCTTTCTAATGCTTCAGAACTCCTTGATGATCTAATGTCAAACAAAAAACAAGTGCTACAATTTCAGTGACACGTTTCCCAAAAATCAAACTCAACCTTTTAATGTTAGAAACATTTAACAATGACATTTTTGATGTTACACGTTTGAATGTAAGTGCAATGAGCCTTACTTTGCATTGCTTCATTTTGCAGCTGTATCCCTTGGACTGCTGTCAAAACTTGGTAAAGATAAGTCTTGCTTTGACGCTGAAAGTCTTTCGAAAGCTCAAGAGCAAATGAATGGAGGCTCTTCAGGTCTTGCTTAAGTCTCTTCTCAGCAGGAAGAAAAAATATGTTATAAACGCACAAAAACAGCAGCTAAGGAAGCATCAATATAACAACACCACAAATAATTACGGTGAGATATCACAGTCAGGAAGAACCCTCTACTTGATGAAAGGAAGTCGTCAGGAGTGTATCTTTCAGCATGTTTGGAGAAGGACCCTGCAAGGTATTTAGCAATGTCATTTCCTAAAGACTTCAGCAAGACTTTATGGATCCTTACCATCTTATGGTACGTACTTCGACCGTAACACAGCTTCAGGTATAACAAAGTCTCTTTCTTATTTCATCAAACAAAAATAAATGTATGTGAGTGTGATGTGTTCTGTCCACTTATAAGACATATCCAGAACTAGCAATGAAAAACTGTGATCCATATATCCCTTACTGCATTCATTTTCCACACTTTGATCAGGAGGTATTTGCTAAGCTTCACTCTAAGCCATTTCTTAAATAAGCCAGTTCTATACCTTCCTATGAGAATAGATGTATTTTGAAAAGATCAGAAACCTTTATTGTTCAGAAAAGTATTTGTATTATGGATGTAACTCAGCATAACATAAATGATGAGACTTTTAAATGTTTATAAGAGCAGCTTATATACACTTAAAAGTCAAATAAAGTAAAACCAAATTGACCTGATTTTAGGATTAGTAGACTTCTTGACACCTAAGCCTTGGAATGAACATGTAAAGCCATCTGTACAAGGAACGTAACCATACCTTATCTCACAGAAGCAGTGTGGTGCTTCATTAGTCAGCCTGGTACAAAGTGTCACATATTCTGTGACATTTTATTTTTCCAACTCTGACCTTGAATTAATCGACTAATGATAAAACAATAATCTGAATTAAAGGGAGAAAATCACTGTATTTCTCACTCTCAAAAGCCACAGAATATAACTGGGAAGAAGTATTTTTTTTTTATTATGGGTATAGGATTACCATTAATCTAGACTTTTATTTGGAGAGCTTTGCTCTCTCCTAACGTTCACTGATCTCTGATTGTAAACCGTCTCAATCCACTGGTATTGCATCACAAGCATTTCTGCCATTCTAGCTAACCTAAAATGTAAAACATCACTGCAAAATTTACTGAGCAGAATCACCGTAATTAGAATAGAACAGAATAGTTCAGTTGGAAGGGACCTACAATGATCATCTAGTCCAACTATGCTGCCATTGAGCTACACCTTTCTGCCTGTTAAGAATCAGATTTCTTTCCTGAGATACTTTTCAGTCATTTTATGCAGGCATTCAGTGCTGCCCTGAGAAAAGCTGACATTTGTTAGAGTCCCTAAAAGGAACTCACTATTCTATGGAGTAACTTAAGGAGTAAGTACTTCAACAAAGGAAAATGTTATGGTACTGGGAGAACAGTTCCAGTCTCTCTGATGCAAAATTAAGACAAGCTGAGTGAGCACAGAGCAAACTACTCCCTCTTGTGAGGTCTGCCAGAGCAGAGCTCTTTGTGAAATCAATGGAGCTCTCCAATGCTTTTTTAAAGGCTCTGCCTATCTGGATAAAGTATATCACAACTACTGCTTTTTAGGGGTTCTCTATACGATAGTCAAATCAGGGATTGCAAGGTTTTGATTACAAAAATATCTAGCTCAGGTATTGCTAGCAGCCTATACATAAGATCCTGCTGCTCAGGAGCAGCCACTTTTACCTGCTTCTCGGGTGACTCTGCCGCCTATTGCAGCAAAACCACAATATATTTTAAGCTAACTCAGGCACTGCTACACTTCACTGCAAGCACTGCCATGAATACAATAAAGCCATAGATCAGGTTCATACCTGACCATTCCATGATTTTCCGGGTTTTACTATATTTGATAAGCATGTAAATGTTGAGGGCATATATTATGCCTGCATTATTACTAAATGTCTTTACCTTTATTGCTCCATGCAGCTGGGTTACAACAGAACTCCTCTGCAATTTCTGCTGCTGGCCATGAGCAGAGTAGAGCTGCAATACTTCGGCAGTGCTTCTTCCAGCCAACCCTTGATACTGTTTTAAAAAAAAAAAAAAAAAATCACCTAAAAATCACTTTAAAGCACTCATGTTTTCTGTTGCATTCTGTCCCCTTTGACCCTGTAACCATTTGTAACTCAACTATCTGATTACATGTGATGTTGTATACACATGATTTCTTTGCTTTTACCTTCTTTTGTATCACATGAAAGATCACGTCGAGGTAACTGGCTAACAATGTTCTACTTCCTTACCGTGGTAAACCTCAGCGTCAGAATACCAAAATGCTTTTGCAGTACCTGAAACCCCTTACTTATGCTTGAGGTGGATCTAAACAGTTAAAACTGTGCCTTCGCTTGGGGAAAGGGGCTGGTTACATAGCTGGTTTAAGTGTCTTCGGGTAACTACATTTAATGCAGAAAGCTCTCTGAAAGGACATGAAGCAGAATGAGGACACACACATACCTGTGTTAACTGCTAAAGTCTTGAAGGAACTGGTAATACACAGCCCCCAGCTTGGTGTTCATTGCTCCAGCTTGCTGCCAACACTGACTCAGTTACATTCAGGAGAGTTGCAATGGTGCACAACTGTACCCATAAAGCACTAAGCTGGGTCTTCAGAGCTCAAAGCAACCAAAGCAATTTTTAAAGGATGTGGAGAAGAATGCTTTCTAATAATCTAAAATTACCTATCAAGCAAAAGCAATTTTTATGGCCAAATTTTTTTTTTTGAGATGCTGAAATCAAAAGGAAAATAGAAATAGTGCAACTTTAAATATTTACAAGCAAGAACACAAAAAAAGAAATCTCTGTAGGGTACTTTTGAAATTCTGCAATATGATAGAAACTGTATTATATTAAACATTGCATTTTCGTCATTTAGTGGCAGTCCTGGTGCTTAAAGTGAGCTGCAACTTCTGTACCTACTTTCCCCTGCAACCTGTTGACATCTATCATTCCTTAACCAGTACTAATAGCCTCTTTCCTTATCTTTGGAATGCACTTGTCTCTAGCACAGACTTAGTCCCTACTTTATTCAGGCCACAAATTCTGACTGCAGTTCCCTATTATTTAAACTAACAGAGCACAGAAGAGTACAATGACATGAAAGAGCTAAATCTACTCACGTAATGGGTTTGATTTAATTCCAATCATTTGATAATGATAGATAAAAAGTAAACATTTAATTGGAGTTTAACTACAGATGACATCTGCAAGAACAATGCAATGTCCTGGAGCTGTATAGCATAAAGAAAGATTATATTTTCCAAGAAAAGTACTTCACTTATCTAAACCAAACTTTTCATGTGGCTTTTTCACTGTCACAAAGCATGCATCTTCTATTTACAACTGCAACCTCAAGTCCTGCACAGCTATACAATACCCTAGCACTAATATAAAAAGTTCTTATGTGAAAAAGAAATAGCAGGAAGAGATTATTTTAAAAGAACTCTAATTTTGTTGTTACAGGCTTTAACCTCCCAGAAATTGAGACCAATTCTATACAGTGTTCATGTGTTCTTTTGCTCTGAGGATCTTCAAGACTCATGTTACTCAGATGCAATATTTACAAACATGCTTGACACAAATGCATACGAGTAGCTCGCCAGAATTACTCTCTCTAATCACATCTGAAAAGTTAAGCATGTATATAAGCAATTGGAGTACTCAAGCCTTATTGTTAAATAAGCTTAAGCTAGTTAAAATCTACTTTTAACATCTAATGAGTTTTCCACCATCTGCACAGGTTCCCCCTGACTCCCCCATTTGTCTCCACACGGACAATAAAAGCAGGATAGTCAATTCTACTTGCATTGCAGTCAACCTCTCATCACTTGCACTATCGAGTTTATCTTCATTGCAAAGGCTGCCTTGGTTTTGAGGCTTTCTCCATTAAAATAGTTTTAGCATTCATCAGAATTTTTTGTACGCCAGAACTTGCAAATTTGTGCTCATGCATGAGAAGCAAAAAAATGACTACAGAAGTTTTTATAGTCAGCTTTATGACAAACAGAAGTGAAACTGAACTACTTAATAGTGTTCTCCAAAGTGAAATCTCAGTTCTGCAATTGGATCCATTCTGGCAGTCTTGGCTCTATGTATGGAAGACGGCAGGATCAGGACCTCAAGGACTGCGAAGAAAAGCAAGGGGCATGCAGGTAGGCAAACACATTTCCTTGCAAAAGCAAGTCTGCAGAGAAAGAATCTGACTTCTTATGTTCAATAACCACCCTTACAATATGCTGCTAGGATAATAATACACCGGGCTGCAGAAAACAGTGGCAGTGCTGATAATCCTGATTGTTTTACGGATATAAGCAAGGGAAGGTCTATAGCAAGAGAGAACATTTTTATTAGACTGATGCAACCTATAGACAAACATTTACACTGCAAATCCTAATTTATGCCTATCCTCATAAGCTTGTCTCCAAAGCTCCCTCACTCACTTCAGCCAAAATGAATCCAATTAGCTTTTACAAGTTAAGAATGAGACCTCTGTTAACCCTGGTCACTGTGACTGAACGTGTTACAGCTCAATCATTCAGACAGCTCCACCAGCGGATCTGAGGGGTCAGTGACTGATAGCTGAGGGCAGCAGCTTTTTTCACCAGCACGGATGGTGAAATATTGGGAGGTATGGTGCAACATTGCACAACCTTAACTTCATCTAATTAAAATTAGTATTCTTTTTAAGAGAGACTCTTAAATGAAGGTAAAACTATTGCATGTCAGTTTAGCTCACGTTTTCAGATTGCTGGGGCCAATTAACCACGGAGAAGCAAAAGTCTTCTAAATGTATGTAAATAACTGCCTGAATAGAAACATCAGTGCAAGGTTAATTGCAAAGCATTTCCACGAATCATTTGACACTGTCTCTGACTCATGGTGGTAACACTTCCACGCTCCTCATGTGTCTGTAGGTGCTCGTATCTTCCAGCACATTTTGCAATAAACTGAAACAGTGCTGTATTTGGAAAACAAGGCTTCATTATCTAATACTCAGATAACTACTTCCTACATCTGATGCACCTTATTGACTAAAATAATTTCTTTCTGGTGTTTGTGGGAGTAAAAAAAAAAAAAAAAACAAAACAAAACAAAAAACCCGAACAGCTGAAATACTTAGGATTTTTGGTAAATATTATAAAGCAGAACAAAAATAATAGAAACATTTTCTCAGAATCAATTACAGTATTCTTCTGTATACCTAGCAAAACTCTTTTCAGATGTACCACCTGCTTCCAGTCAGGCTTTGAAAAATGTTAAACCCACTTTTATCTGCAGGTGTTAACAAACCCACAGGGAGGCCAAATGGCGTTCCCGGGGTCACCCAACCAGTTAATGTTTCAGCACAGATTAGAAACTCTTGGCCTACAGTCTCCATCACGGCTAATACTCACAGCTGGCTCTGGTCTAGCGGTGTAGATCAATATTCAAAATTCTGTAAATCTCTGAAATCCTACCTTTGAAGACCCCAAACATTATCACAGGCTGCTCCTTGTTTCAATAACGGTCTAGGAACAAAAGATCCTTCCGTAGAAGGATCTAAGGGAATGAGGGCATCCAGTTGTTCCTGTGTGCTCTGTGACTGACTTCTGCCTTTTCTAGACAAGCGTAATGCTAGTGCTATGAAGGCATGCAATAATGAAATGTCTTTCCTGCACTCTACGAATAGTCCTTTTTAAAGGATCGTCCTAATTACGTCTAAAAAGTATTCCTTCAAAATCTGCCCTTGTCTTTTAGGCAAACATTTTCCCTGCAAGCAGAAAGCAATATTCCATATTTAATGCTTGCAGAGTCATTCCCTCAGTTAACTTTTGTAGATTTAAAACAATGGCAATTATTTAAGTGTATGTCAACTTCTAGTTACTTAATCAGTCTATCACTATTGCAGATTAAAGAAAAAAATAAAAAGAAACGCTGAGCCTTAATCCCTTCATAGATTTCCCCAATAGGTAAAAGAGCGCAAAACTGGAAAACAGGAAGGCAGATTTCAGTGTCTTTTTTTTTCTGTTTTCATAAGCATTCTTTTTGGAAAAACACACACTAGTTACCTCTGCAAGTTTTAGATGAAGA